TGTTCCTTGAGGTCAGGGCGAGACCCTCTGCCCTAAAGCCAGGAAATGGAGATGTTTCACACCCTCCTGGCAGAGCAGGGGAGCCCTATTCAACCTGGCATCCCTTACCTGGCAGGGAGAGAAGGGCTGGGGTCCCATTTTCTATTTGGGATGTTAGGGTACGGCCCGGTGGCAGCTCCGGCTCTGGGGTGGCCCAGTTGAACCGCCCTGGGTGTCGCGGTGTGAGAAGCGGGTTTGCACAAGCTTGGCAGGGGGTGAGGTCCAGGGGGTGGGCACGCACAGGGCGCAGGAGCCTGCCCACCCCCAGGCTGTGCCGCCCCTATAGATGAAGGCATCGACCCTTTGTGCTGCCCGTGTCCCCAGGGAGCCCCTTCCCTGCAGGGAGCTGTGTTGGGGGGTGGCTGAGGGGGTGGCATCACCCAGACGTGGTCTGGATGGTGGGGAGAGCATCAGGGCCAGTCCCCCGTCCCCTGACGCTGCATCCCCACGGCAGGAGTTCAGCGGTTCCTCCCCAAAACGGCGACGGGCAGAGGACAAAGACGAGGGGATCGGTTCGCCGGACATCTGGGAGGACGAGAAGGCCGAAGATCTGCGGCGGGAGATGATCGAGCTCCGACAGCAACTGGACAAGGAGCGTTCGGTCCGCATGATGCTGGAGGAGCAGGTGAGACCACGCGGGGCCGGATCCGGCTGCGGCACTGCCGCCTGTGCGGCACCGCGCTGGCTGTGCACAGGGCAGGCTCGCCCTCTAGCGGGCTGTGCCACGGTCGTGCCGGAGCCCTCCGGGGACACCGGCGCTGTTGCAGTGTCATGGGCCATCTGCTCTGGCCACCTCAGCTCCATGCTTGGCCATGGGCTCTCCGGCTCTGCTGCATCCACCCCGCGGGGACCCTGCCCGGTGGGGCTCAGGGGGTGCGGTGCCAGCAGCAGGCTGGGCTCCCCACTGACGTCAGGGCTCTCTCGGCCGGCAGGTTCGCTCCCTGGAGGCCCACATGTACCCCGAGAAGCTGAAGGTGATCGCTCAGCAAGTGCAGCTCCAGCAGCAGCAGGAACAGGTGAGGTTGCTGCACCAGGAGAAGCTAGAGCGCGAGCAGCAGATCCGAACCCAGGTGAGTGCGCGGATGCCGCCGTAGCCCACCCTGGCCGTAGCCCACCCGTGGGGACACCCCGACAGCCTCCCGCCCCCTGAGCAGTGCAGCCAGGCACGTGGGCGGTGAAATACAGGGGTTCGGGGTGGTTCGGTGATGTGCCTGGCACCTCCCATCCCTTAGGGCTGGCTGGGACGGACGCCAGTGTCCCAGCAAAGCTCTCGCCCTCGGGGAATTGGGCTCTCACCCTCAAGGGGTCTGCGCTCATGGGCACCCCGTGTGTTGTGGGGGGATCATGGCTTGGACCATGCTGTGGCGGCTTCCAAGCGGCTCCGTTCCCTGGCACGGAGGGCTTTGTACCTGGAAGGTCGCTTTCTGGTGGGCAGGGATTCAGCTTGGCATTAGCGAGCCCGCAGCTTTCCAAGGCTGTGCCGGGAGGTGCTGGGTGCGGCTGCCCCCAACTCGCCCCCCATGGTGCCACGTCCCTCCCTGCTAGGCTCTGGGCACGGGTGGAGAGCAGCTCCTGCTCCGGTGAGCTGTAGTCCTGCTCCAGCTCCCGCCGGGCACGTTTCCTCGCCCTCGGGCGATGAACGGGCATCCCTCGCGTCCGCGGGTGATGCCAGCAGTCACAACGGCACCACCGCCAGCGGCTGATGCAGCTCATGCTCCCTGTGCCAGAGTGACTGGTTTGCGGTGGCGTGGTCTCCGGGAGTTCACCTCTCACTGGGTGACTCCCGCTGAGTTTTGGGGACCCCCAAACCCCTCCCTGCCACCCTCCAGGCTGGGAAAGGGGGAGCAGGCGAGCTGGCAGGCAGCGCTGCTGGGCAGGACTGCAGGGATGGGAGCCTTCAGCCTTTTCCCCTGGCACAGTCGGATTTGCTGACGGTGGGGGGAGCCTTACGCCAGCCTGGTGCTGGAGGCGAGCGTGGTGCCGGCACCTGGTCCTTGCTCGCTGCCGCCCTCGAGCTCAGCCCAGGGGGATGCCGGCCTGGGGAGCTTCAAAGGGAGGGAGAAGAACCAGCTTCCTCCCTCTTTTGGCTTCTGCGGAGCTGTGTCCCCGCAGGATCCCCGCCGGCCGCCTCCCGGGGAAGTTCAGCCTATTTTTAGGTGAACTCTCCTTAGCCTACTACTAGGGCGGATCTTCCCATCCGCTGTTTTAATGAGGATCTCCAAGGGGTGCAGCGGGTTCCTGGCTGCGCAGGTCGGGGCGGTGGGAGGGCTGGCACTTGCCTCTCCTGGCTTAAAAGCCCAAATCTTTCCCCCTTCGGGATACAAGGAATGCTTCACGTTCCGCTCTGCCAAAGCTAAGGTGATGGCACTCTCCGCTGGCATCCTCTCGCGTCCATCTGGGATGGGTGAACTGGAGCAGCCGAGCTGCTGCTTCAGCTTTTATGGGCTCTGGAAGGAGTTTGGGCTCCGTAAACAAGCGTGATCAAGCTGACCAGGGGGGTTTTTGCTTCTCTCCCCAGCTCCTGCCATCACACGCTCCCCCAGCGCCCACCCACCACCCCACTGTGATCGTTCCAGCGCCGCCTCCCTCCCATCACGTCACCGTGGTCACCATGGGCCCGTCCTCGGTCATCAACACAGTCTCCACGTCCCGGCAAAACCTGGACACCATCGTTCAGGTAAGGGGGGGACCGAGGAGGATGGCGGCAGGGGGGCTTTAGGGGGTCCCTAACCCCCCTTGCGTGCGTCGGAGCGGGGGACACGATGTCCTGACGGCCGGTGGTTGCCCTCGGCAGGCGATCCAGCACATCGAGGGGACGCAGGAGAAGCAGCTGCAGGAAGAGGAGCAGAGACGCGCTGTCATCGTGACGCCGGCGCGCGCCTGCCCCGAGCCCTCCGCCTCCGACACCGCCTCCGACACCGAGGGCAACGACAGTGACTCCATGGACCAGAGCAAAGAAGAGCCCTCGGGGGACGGGGAGCTGCCCTGACACCCCCTGGCCGGCAGCCGG